TATTATATATATATATTATAATATAAATATAACATATAAAGTATAATATATTTATATATATATATATAATATGTATTATAATATATTTTTTAATATTTTCTAATGTTTTTCATTAAATAATTTATTTTTCCGTGTGATACCTTTTATTATTTACTGTCATTTATTGTCCAAGACGTTCAACTATTACCCGTGGACAGTGCCCACTTGCCGATCCCTGGTATACGTAATAACATTTTGATATCAAATTCTTCTTTCGTTTTATTGTGTAGAATATGTGAATTGGCAGGATAACTGTTTAATGATATTATTTTCAGAATAACTATAACAAAATACGAGTTAATAAATAAACATTTAATTTTGTGATATCTTCTGGTATGGGGTATTAGCAAGCTGCAATACAACGCTGTGAAAAATGGGGGAGATGGGCCCCTATTCTTGAAAATTATCGTATACGTGAAACTAAAGAAATGCTATAGTGTACGTTACGTACACGAGATATGTTCTTTATTGCTGAACTTTTGCACCAGTTCATCTTTTTTCCTTCTCCTAGAGGGAAAAGGAAGAAAGATGAACTAGTGCAAAAGTTCAGGCAATAAAGAACAGACCTATTATATCATTTCTCTAGATTATCGTATGCGATACTTTTTAAGAATAGGGGCTCTGCGCGAAACAGACAAGTTTTCAGCCAATCCGAGATCATTCTCTTGAACGGAGCACATATGTAAAATAACTTATAAATATCCATCTCCCAATGTAATCGTAAGAGCTAGATCCTTGATACATTACCGAGTATACTAAAAATTCCTTATTTTATATAATCATAAATTTATTAATTATATTACCTATACGAAATAATAATAACGACACGTACATTTACAAACAAATTCTTACGTTACATTTCTTTAAGGATGCTTTAATTGTCACTTTATATTGACCTAGTTTACACCCAGCCGTCCAATCCCGATTCACTTCGAAGTGAAGTGGATTTATGGAACGTTTACACCGGATTCGCTCTACTCCGCTGAGAAAAGAGGATTGAAATCAGTCGAAATTAATCCATTTATACCCAAGAAATTTCACTTCACTTCGAAGTGAAGCGGGATTGGACGGCTGGGTGTTAACTAGGTCATTGACGATGTTAAGAACATATTTCACATGCATAAGAGCGATAGATCAAGAGCCTTGAATTTGAATATTGTGTTACTTTGTATCAACATCGATGAATTTTTATCAACCGTACCCTGGAGTGTTTAGAATTGTTATGGTAAAGTTTCATATTTTACTTGTGTGTGTAGACAGTGATTTGTATAATACATTAATATGTGTAAACGGAATATATCTAATAGATTACAACAAAAATTAGAAAAAGACTCAAACTGAATTTTTTCATTAGTTTATATAGAAAGGCTAATAAAAAAGCAATTTATAAATATTTAACACGAAAATATTTGTATTTAAGTATAATACTGAGTAATTTGCTATTGAAGAAAATCCAATACGGATCCAAAGAAGGGTTTGGTGATTATTTTAGAAACAATTCTATATATTGATACAAACATATTAATGTTCCAGATTTCTATTTACTGATAGACTATCGATTAAGGTCTGTGTGTTCCCACCTCTTATATATTTCGAAAACGATTTAAAACTATGAAAGATTGCGAAATACCACAAAACTATTAGACTTTGTTAGTCTTCTCCTAAGCCAAATGCAATTTATAACGGAGTCTTATTTCTTTTTTGCATACGAACATTCAACTATGTGTGCGAAAGCTTAAACTAAAGTCGAAATATTCATAACCTATATTTATATATGTGGGTGGTTATCGGGGAAAAATAAGTAGGCGAATGAAAATAAAGTCTAGCCCGATAACTTTAATATAATATAAACGAGGTTATACGAGTCCTGCTTGTAGTGTGCATTTCGATACAAGAATCTCGGAATATCGTCTCGGAACTTCTCGTATCATTTCAAGTAATTTCCGAAATTATCATATATCGTTTGTTTTTCTCGTCTTGTCTCGTCTCGAAAATATCGGAGAAATATCGAGATGAAAAATATTACTCATAAAAAATAAAAAAAAAAATAAATGACAAAAAACACGAGATAACTGATATTCTCAAATATCTCGATATAAAGTTCGAGAATTTTGAGAAGCGAGAATATCGGTCTATCGACGAAAAAATTTTATCAATCATTTGTTTTGGTCGAGAATTTATCTTGATACTCGTCTCGTTTCGCTCGAATGCATCACTACCTGCTTGTCAGGATAGCTAAACAGCGACTGCCGGGCACCGTGAAAGTCCATGGCACATAGAAAAACGTAAGGCCGCAAACGTAATCAGTAATATCTGATTACATTTTACGTTTTTCTATGTGCCATGGGCTGAAGTGAAGGCCCAGCTACATCTATCGTAAGCTTACGATAAACATTACGATAGATGTAACTAGAGCTTGATGCCTACAAGGAATAAGGATCGCGCGACGTTAACGCGGTGGGATCAACGCTCTTTTGCTCAATCAGGCAATCCGACGATTTTCCGATAGCCAATCCTCGCGGCTTCGAGGATCCGTGTGTCGGTTATTTCTGCTACGGAATTTTCCGTGGTAGCGACAAGCTCGCGCAAGAAACCTCTCAAACGTTCTCTTTAGAACGGTAACTAATTTATACATACTTATAATGAAAATATGCCTACATATATGAATATAAGTATATCTTATTTCTCATTATTACATAATACTAATGACTAGACTTCATGCCGTGTTGCTATTTGTACTTATACAATGGTGCTGCTTTATCTTTATCTTCCATCACCATATCCTTTTCAGCAAATGTTGCATTGGGAAACAATATAAATTCGAAAACGTTCAAATAGCAACATTCCGTTGCAGGTACAAACTTCTTGTGATTTTAACAACTTCCTGTATTTGCGCTATTCAGTAGTTAAAATATGAAAACTTGTGATATGCCACATGTGTATACATCGACTAACAATTTTTGCAATACCAATTACGTAGCTATATATATTTATATATATATATATTTAAATATAGGAACATTTATTACTTATACAACGATTACAAAAAAGTACATTCAATTGTTAATATTACAACAGAACCTTTCTATTGAGACCATAATAACCGTGAAAAGTTAATACTTCATTAACAAGAGCTTCAACATTATATAGTTTGTACCTGCTAATCGGTATGCTACATGAGTCATGTCATTCAGTTTTGCTTGGAAAGTGTCAGTCTTTATAATGATAAGTAGAAAATTTTATACCAGAATCCAGATTTGTCACAAGGATAAAGACACTATGAGATGTACACTTGTACAGTAAGTTCAACATTCTTACGACATACGCCGCATATTTTCATATTTTTTGCACACTCTGCACACGCCAATAAATGTCCGCATGGCATAAATACCATCCGTACTTCTCTACTATAGCAAATTTTACATAATCTTGCATCCTTATCGCATGGTTTGTCATCCTGTGATTGAACAGATTGTTCCTCGCATTTAGCTTCACCTGATATAATACTTGTTTCTGTATTATCAGTTATTGCAGAACTAGTTGAGTTTTGAGAACTTCCGCTAGCAGTATTCTCGCTATCAGCTTTCTCTAATTTTTCATCCAATTTATTAGCTGCAGATGGTATGTTTTCCTGCAGAAAAATTAAGTAATTTAGAATTGATTATTGCATTCGACACAATTTTATAATTAAAAATTTATTCCATTTATTTCATAAATTTTTAATTAAATTAAGATATTTATTATAAATATATAGATTGTATAATTCTATTAACAATAAATATATTTTATTAAATGCTTACTGCTCCGGTATGCGTTCTCCCAGTAACGTTGCTTACAAACTCCATTCCTTTAGTCACAAGCAGATAAGGACAATATTCAAACCATTTGGCATGCTCTACCCAAGGATCATCATTTGGCTCCCAATCTCTTAATCCTCCACCGCAGTGATAGCATAATGTTTGATCGCCACTTCCTGTGTAATAGAAACCAGCATTTGCTAGTTCTTCTTTAGTTTGTGACATTGCTTTAGGCCATCTATCATACGATGTTAATCTGGCAGTAAAACTAGCATATTCGGGATGCTTCGGTCTTGATGTAAACCCTCTATACAGCCTAGAATTCACTCTTTCTTCAATCTCTCGATCATCATGATCTGGACCGGAATAAGGCATGTATATTGAACCATAAGGTCCACATACATCCACTCCTTTAGGCACAGGTGCCGGAATTGTGTTAGGATCTGTACCGATCGGCACATTGCCGCATGGAATTTTACGAATAAATCTACATTTACCAGACCATCGCTGATGATCGACCATTGGATTGTCTTCTTCCCGCCATTGGCATATTTCTATATTACACTCGAAACATTTTACTTTGTCGCTTTCGCCAGTATAAAAAAACCCAGCCGCCGCGAGTTCCTCTGGCTTTGTCGATGAACATTGCCAGTTTTTAAAGCTTGTCAAACGAGCGGATTCAAATCGATAATCTAAAGACATCGATGATCCATTATCAACTTCGTCTATTTCTTCGAAAAATATATTAGACTTTATTGGTTTTTTTCGTGGCGTACGGTTTGCAGGAATGATGTATTGATCGATACATTCGGTCATTTTTGTAGTACAGTATATAAAGCTGTTTCTTGTAAACCTGTAAAGAAAAATTAAATATCAATATATGCCGAAACTTTATATAATAAAAATTCATTAACAGATTTACTTCCAACCAATATCATCCAAATATAGACAATATTAGATTCTCATTTTAACACATATTTAGACAACAAAATAACTTGTCAAGAAACTAAAATAACTACAGATTTGATATAGAATCTGATGAATATTGTTGGTAAAAATACAGTTTGTTAACAAAATATGATAAAAATTAAGCAGACATACACTTGTTACACAATTAATGGTAGAATGGTGATAAAAATAAAATAAGACATTTTTTATACCAATTTACTAGCTATTAATGATCGAATTTGTTACAACTGCCGGCATATTGACTAGACAATTGGCTTATTAGTAGACTAATTAATCAATTTCATTAATTATTATGAAAATGGCAAAGGATTTTTCTATTTGATTTAAATTTCTTATTATCCACGAGTGGTGTTACACTTGTTATAAAAAACATCCTGTATAATATTTAAAAAGTATTATTAAGATCTCAAGTTGCGTGACCAATATGACCGCCTCAATACGGATAAGGAACTGCATTCCTTGATTGGACGCAGTCCCTTATCCTTATTAAAACGACTATATTGGTCACGACTTAAGATCCCAATAACCTGGACATCATTTGACAATATTTGAAATATTTTTCTTCTCTCACTCTCACACTTCTCTTTTTATGTAAAAATAAATAAAAAAAGGCTAACGGCAATTTTATGGCTAAAAAAAACACACCAGGTACAAAATATCTTCGAGATACGTGTTTTCTGTCTAAATCTTTATTCACATCGAACATTCAAGAAATACCAATGTCTAAAGACATCGAAATTTTACAGTATAATGTATCGATGTTGAATATTGATAATAATATAAATAATTATAATATAACAATAATAAGTAATATAAATAATTAAATGTACATATTTTCTTAAATTACTTGCAGAAGAGATTTATACCCCAACATTATATTTCAATTGTTCTTTTTGATGATTTACAATTAAAATTATGATATTGATAATATTCTGAAACTATTCTATTTCTTTTAGATTAAAATAAATGCAAAATTTCTTTTTTAATTATAACATAAATAATTTGTTTAGCATTCAATCGACAGAAAAAATTTTTATTCTGTGAATTCAATAGAGGACTGAAGCGTATTTTTTACATTTCACGCGAATGTTAATACATATAATAATATATATATATATATATATATATATATATAAAAGATTTTCGAACAAGCAATATATGCATCATGGTACTGGAATTTTACATTTTAGACAGGAAATATGTATCATGTCTCCGTATACGGAGATTCATGTATTAAATCATTTTATGATTTTGCGCATATATATTATAGTGATGTAATCTATATATAGCCATAAAATCATTGCTACGAATAAGAAAGTCGACTTCTTTATAACCAGCAACGCGTTCGGGAAACAAACAGCTGTCAGCTGCGACACCCGGTACATACATCGAATGCAACGTTGCCGCTAACGCGGCCTCTATTTCTGTTCGTCTTATTACATTACACGAGAACGCGACGCGTATCCGCGAGGTGAATTGTAACGGCAGGGCCGTCTATAGTTAACGAGCGTGCCCCAGGTCTTTGTTCCATTTCGAGGAAATGGATCTGCTCCTTTTGGGATAACGGGAGAAATAACTTGAAATTTTTTCTATTTCTCCCAATTTTACCATGTAATCTGACAAATTCCGAGAAATTTCCAAACGACAGGACTTTATCGAAAATAGTGACGTTTAGCGCATTAGAAAGTTCAAATCGGCGAGTTAAATGTATTTGATAATTATTTGTAAATTCTCACCTTGAAAAATATTGACAATCCGAAGTATTTGTTTACACGAAATCAGTTCAGTCTGTGTCGCAATGATGGAAATGTTTTTCAGCCTGCTCGATCTTAAGTTGAATTAATCTTAATGCCACAGCAACATTCCACAAGTCCAGGTCTGAGTCGGTATAGTCTATAGTCAGTGAGTCAGAAGCGAATCTGACATATAATGAAGGAGGATAATTGATGGTCGGAAAATCGGGATTTGACCAACAGACAACTTCTGTGAGATTATCGCGGCGACTACCGAGTCAATGTAGACTCAGGCTCGGTTGTGGAATGTTACCGGAGCGGTAACTCGAGAAAGGAAGAGAGAGCGGGGCTAACTCTACAGGATGTCTAGCGATACAGCGTATCATCGAAAAAGGAAATGCCTCAGTCACGATGTCATAAAGTTGAATAGACTACATACATAGGCTTAACATTAGTTTAACCTTCGTTCGACGTCTACAATATAAACGAATGTGTCGCCAGTGTCGCTCCAGGGAATGTCATTTTTTCTTTTTATTTGTTGCAACGTCGTGGCGTGCCATGCGTTTGTGTTCAATGGAAAAAATGGCCTCGCAATGCAGATATATGCCCGTGTCATATTACGCGTTGGAGTTTGAGGACGAGATTTCAGCTAATCAGAACCGACTGGATTAAAATTAAACTTGTGTGATTGGTCGAATTTTAATCTTCAATTCTCAAGCCTCAATCTCCAATGCGTGGTATGACATGTGCAATAGACGGTATTCACAGTTCGCTTTTATTTTAAGACCGCTTTAAGTAAGGTCTTCAAGATGTTACGGCTTTCTCTAATTGTTTCATGACACCCGATTATCTATAATATGTAGAGTAAGTTTGGTATAAAAAGTAAGACTAAAAAATTGACGTCAATCATTCTTCTCACATTTTCGACTGTGATTAGTTAATTTCTTACCGTTACTTCTTACATCAATCAAGTTTACTCCGCATATTGTAGACAAGGCATCAAAATTGTACCTAAGACGATCTTAATATAAGGACCAATCGTGAATACCCGTAAAATATTATATCAGTTTAATATTACACAAAGTTCCTTTCTTGCTCGCTAAGCGTTCAGTAGTATGGTACTCGGTGAATGGATCCATTCCTGCATTGGCATTCCTCCTCACTTTCATCAAATTTCAAACACATATCTATTTCATTTTCAGTACAAAGAGTGTACAGTAGTTTCATTTATAAAAAATAAACTTATAGGTCAATTCTAAGCAGAATCATAAAACTTGTTCTCGTAAAATTTATAAGAACTTATGACTAATGTTTAATTCTATGGATATTTATCATAAAGCATATGATCATCTGTGAATATATACGATTTTTCGTAAATCTTACAGCTAGCAAGAAGCTATCCGTACAGATATTATAAAGTTATAAGTATTTGTAAGTTTTTAGAAATCTTACAAGAACATGTCTTGTAAGCCTCATCCTACTTAAAGACTTGATCCGTTACTGCGGCGATGTATAGGGTGTCGTTACAAAACTCGACTGTCATGATTTAAAAGTCAAGCTACTTATTGGCTAAGAATCGATTAGATGTCTTCGCGAATTCCTTTCTTTATCCTCGATTTCAATCAATTGCTTCGAGAGAGAGAGAGAGAGAGAGAGAGAGAATTAAACAATAATTATTTATTATTTAGTTTCTTAAATCTTGAGATTCTACTTGTGTGTCTGTGTGAGGAGTTTTATGTTTTTTTCCAACAAAAATTTCCTTTTATTTCCATATCACCATTTCTTGCCAATTTTGCTGAACTCAGTCATTATGAATCAATACGAATAAATCTGAGAATATAAATGCGCAAAGTCCATATCTGTTTTGCAATATTTCGCGTTATCGCAAAATGACACATTGATGCCAACGTCACGTACATGCTATACCGGGGATACATTTATCGTTCGGACTTCAAAGAATTACAATGACATCAGCGTGAAACTCCTTTAGACGCTTGCGTCTTCTTTATTATTCCCAGCTGCGAGAGAACCGGCAACGCTGGTTATACTCCGTGGGTTTGGATACGTTAGTATGTACGTACAATCGAAAGGTCTCCGGTTCAACCAGCGTCGGTCGGGCTTTGTAGATTTTCAAACTCTGTGTATACTGTAATATACGTAGAGTTTAAAAATATTATTTGTTGAAAGTGTTTAATTCTATCGACATCTCTTTCTCTCTCTCTCTCTCTCTTTCTCTCTCTCATCTGAAATCTAATGTAGATAGTAATGCATATGTTAAAAAAAATAGTCAAAACTTTGAAAAATATTAATTTTTCAGTATGAATTATTTATCAAAGTGCGTATAAATTGAACTAACAAAATTTTTTAACATAATTTCAATAAAATCAGGTTTGAAAAGGTTAATTCAATTGCAGATTTCTTGCCAGATGTCGATATCGAATGTACAGAGATTTTACTGAAATATCTGAAAATTCAGCTAGACCTGAAAATAATTTTGTAGGAATTTCAAATATGATAAGAACAATGTTGTAAAAAACTTTTACATTGTAGTAACCAGTTCGAACGTCCTACATAATTATTTTAACGATCCAACAAAATCATATTCAGATCTGTATCTAAATTCTTAGGTATTTGAGCAAAATCGTTTCTTTCCACGTAATATAAAAATATCTGAAGAACTCAAGAGATATGGAAAATGAAGGTAACTCGTGCTTATTTTTAAGTCAGTTCGATTGATGTTTGTTAACTACAATCAACTAATAAACATCAATCGAACTGAATTAAAAATAAGCAAGAGTAATCAACGAAATCAGATATGAACCTTTGGCTCATTTCGAAGATAACATATGGAGGTGAATGATTTAGACGGAATTAAATATCATTATCTCTTATTAAAGATTCCCCATAATAATGATAAATGTCTTATCAAAAGATATAGACAAATCAAATATGATAACTCATTATCTTGTCTCGGATATAGAATAAAATAGTAATTCGATTCAAAAACGCATTGCCCCTATAAAGGTAACTTCTTAGAAGCCACTCAACTTCTCCTCCTCGTTCTAAACATCCCAAGATTTCCAAATCACAGAGGTCAAAGTACTATCTATATAAATCGTTTAGTAGACAGATTTCTGAAGTAGTCAAAATATATTACTCAGTAGCATAGACCTAATAGATCAAAATCATAATAAGCAAAAGATAAATATCCTCATTCACAAACATTGAGAACCAAAAAAATAGGTATAGAAGACAATAGAAGACAAATCTTTTAAAATGCTTCCAAAACCTTATGTTGACAAGTCTGACAAAAGCAGGTAGAAAAAAGGATGAAAAGGGAAGAAAGCAGATGTGTGAAATTTGTCACGTAGCAACGCTTTCGAACTAAAGTTGTGGAAATCGATTTTAACTAAAGTTGTGAAAACAATTTTATTCTATATACTTCAATATTTATATACTTAATTGTTCGTTTTCTCCTTTTCTCTATAATGTTTAATTATAGAGTGTCCCACCACTGACAGTATACAAACAAAAAGAATAATTCTATATGAAAAATTGGTCGAAAATATAAAATAAAAAATTTTTATACATATATTTTTTAAACTATCTTTTTTTTTATTAAGTATCTCCAAAGTATCCTTTCGATATACGTAATGTTTATAAATGCACACATCTAACGAAAATTATTTTATTTGGAAAACGAAACTTCGTATAAAATAGTTTTATTCGAAACGAATTAACTCTCTTTTATCTGCGATTAGTCTACATTAGAACTCAGAATGCGATGCTTTCGGCCGATTTTTGGCTTGATTTTCCGTCCCTTATCGGCATTTGAACTGAGAGTGAGTAGAGGACCGGCTACATCTATTGTGACAGTTGTATCACGTGCCGAGCCCTAGTCTTAAAATTTAACGGAATACGCCAATCAGATGAAAGCGCTCACTGAGCGATTGTTCTGTGTGAATGCACACAACATCAGTTATCAATGGGTGCGTTCAGTAGAGAAGACTGACCAGTTAGCGCTTAGTAATTCTTCAATGTGATTGGTTGGTTCTTACACTTAAATAATCTAAAGACAAAAAACAATCATATTAAAAGAATCACCAAACAATTAGTTTTCTCTGCTGAACACAGCCATTCTCTTTTTTTAAGCTTGTTCAATGGCTGATCGTTTTATTACACGCGTATTGTGTACCGTATTTGAATAATTATAGATATATTTAAACATTGAGAAGAATCTAATAAAAAAAAAGAAATGTTTGTTATTACAAAATTATTTTGGAAGTTGAACAAGCACCTAACCTTTTCATTTTTTTTTTTTACTAATTTTAGGGCGTTTTCCATCAATGTGTAATACAGTGAATCATTAACATCCTGATGGTTCGCCAACGTTTACTGTGTTTATCTCTTTGCTGAAAAACGCCTTCAGTTGTGATTCTAATTGAACCTTATATTACCAAATTAATTCCTTTTTTGATTACAAATTATTCGTTCCCCGTTACATGGTGGTTTGCTTTCCGCAGACCCGCCCAACGTTAGATAATAAACGACGCCGAGCAGCACTGCGTCAAAAGGTACCGATAAAGCGATACGGGTGGGGAGGTAGGGCAGGGGAGGGGAGGGGAGAGAGGAGCGGTAAATAGGAGAGGACGTAGTAAACAAACAAGGGCGATCAAATTTCCAAGTACTTATCAATTGTCACGGTCAACTGCTTTTAGAATCCGCGTTATTTTAACACTACAGCTCTTGTCAGCCATATCTCGGGATGTATCCTACTTTCTCGCGTGAGCGTCAGGCAAGCGTTTATATGGAACGTACAGATAGGCTGGCGTTTCAAAATTTACTGTCAGTACACTGAAAATCTACAGTTTACGTTACGTGCATTATAGATTTTCAGTACCGACAGTATATTTTGAAACTCAGCCGTAAAGGGAACACAGGGAAGAGAAAGTAGCAATCCTCTGTTTCTTTCATAAGTTGTAAAAAAAAAATATATACAGCGACATACAAAACGTACCTAAAAATCGATTTCGATGACCAGATTGCTGCGAACTGCTACGCTTTCAATTTGCCTTGCCACGCGACTCACGGCTTTGTTTTCGCCTCAGCTCGTTCCGATCTGACCCGTTCTCTTCCCCCTCGGTTGTAGCGTCTCGTTTCGCGAACGGTTGTGTTATCGTACCGCACGGGGGCTTCGGTTCGATAGCTGCTGTCGTACTTGGGGACGAGACTCACACGGTATATCCACGGACAGTAAGGAACGAGTAGTCGAGTACGATACGGTCTATTCGTCCCACACTCTAGTCGTCGGTTCACCCTGTATCGCGTTGGTGCCGTTAAGCGTTGAACAATCTGCTCCGCGCAGTCCGTGCCTCACTGCGCGGTAGCGATGGTTCTAGTTCCACGCTCCACCACCACGGTACAGTTGAACCAACAATCAGCCAGCGCCAGCCGCCAGCATTCATTGGGAAGAATGAGCTTTGGCTTTCCTGCTCCCTCTCTTTCTCTCACTTCCTCTGTGCCTCGGCCGTCGGCGAGCCTTTCGACGCTATCACTCCAGCTACCACTCCGGCAGTCGGCACTCGCTATACCAACTCAACTCAGAGGGGCGCGGGGCCTCGCCGTCTGCCGTCCTTGCCCGCCTTGCCGACTTGCCGAGTCGGCAAGAGACGGCAGGACGCGCTGTACGCTTGCGCCGCCATACGCCGTTCTTACTCGCTCAGCGCCGCTCAGCGTACGTTTGCTCGGCGCTCGGCTTGCTCAGGGCCGCGCAGAATAAAAGGAACAGAGAATTAAGAATTTCAATCAGAACAGAAATCATGTACTATGGAATACACCCTGTTTATTCTACAATGTATGATTTCTGATAGGTTGAAATTCTTATTCTCTGTTCCCTGTTCCTTTTATGCTGCGCATATCGTCAACAATCGTCTGCGCCCTGCGGTCTGTCTGTACTATAGTATCTGGCTGAATAAAGTGGTATCGTACTATAGCACGATAATGGCCGGCATATTGATGGTTGTGTTGGTAGTTCCATATAAGCCCTAAGTACACGGTTAGTATTACTGACAGTATGCATTAGTTTTTACAATCTTATACGATCAGGTATATTAACCACACACAATCGATAATATTGTCATTATTCGTTGATACTGACAGTATTACTGACCATGTACAGAGGCATGCCCCTCTCTCTCAATAGGGTGTGACGCTATTGCGCATTGGCATCTGAAACTTTTGAAAGGGTCGGCAAGTCGGCTAGCGTAGATCTGCGTTGTGCGGCTCAGATCATCAGTGATCATCAGATCTAGTAACACTAGGCGAAGCGAACGAGCACTTTTCTTTCCTTCGGTGTATCTCGGATCTTTTATCCCGTTGCAACTTGCATTATTTATAACATTAGTCTCCTAGGTAGGTTTCAAGTAGAAAATCTAATATATGTAGACTACGAGCTATATGAATAATTGAGAGCCAAAGGTATAAATCTGTCATTAAAATTTCCAAAATTTGAAGTTACAGGTCTAAAATCCCGGACGCGCATATGAAAATGTATGTAGATCAGTAGAATTGATCGGAACAGTAAGCGAATAATTATCTCACATCGAATTGTTCATTATTAGTGGTACTAATTTCATGCAAGGAACTGACCAATTATAATTTTTACAGTTTAAAAATTACTACACTCACACCTATTGTAAATCAGAACTAATACAAAGAATGAGTCAAGAGAACATTTATAGAAACATTTCCTAAAATCTCGGACGCCTTTGGAAAATTTCCCTGATTCAGCCTTCAAATATAAGTCATGGAAAAGAGAGGTATGGTCATTATGGGGACGACCCCAAAATGCTGTCAGAAAAATCTTGAGGGCTTTCATCAGAGATAATCCGTATAGAAACTTAGAAACTGGTTGACATTCATTGCATTCCAAAATTCGGCTTTATCAACTCAAGTGTTATTTTATCCTTGTTCACTGAATGTTGAAGCTAAAGATACTCAGAGTTGACAGAATCAAGTTTTGGAACGTACGCCAACAGTCATCGGAGGGTTTCAGTTTCTAATAAACAGTACTGTTGTTTAATAGACGAACAAGATTGCAATAATTAAAAATGCCACATGCATCGTCGTGCCATGCCGTATCTTTTGTTGGAAATATCCTATTGATGATCGTTTTCTGACAGGCACACATTCCTTAGATCGGCCAATGACCTACCTCGCCCATCAAATTCTTCACTTTTCCATTATCCCCGTCTAAAAATATATATAGGAACTGATGGGAACTTTATATTAGAAAAAATTCTTTTTTTAAATTGCTTTTACTTCTAAAACGGTATATTGGTAAACTTTTTATATAAATTATATCTTGATATTACGTTACGAAATGTAAATGAAATTCGCGAACTGTCCCTTCTTAGAGTCTTAACTTGACTTTAATTGAAATTTTGTTCCTGACATGATTTATACACAGAATAAAATTTTATTACTAATTTAATTATTTAAAACTAATTCATACGAAAAGATGTGTAATGACTGTCACTGTAGAATCATAAATACTCTCCAAAACTTTTAGTTTTTTCAAGACCGGCTCTATTTTTATTTAGATTCCATTTCAAAAAATTTATTAAGTTACTTTACCCTCGACATTTTTAATTTTTATATCATGTTATTTTAATGTGCTAAACTTAATTATGTAGTTCTTCATTAAACGTCAACCAATATAAGACTTTCGTATTCGAAAGTCAACAAATCTATACTGACAACATAATCGCTCGAATTTTTTAGTTAAAAAAACCACTTTAAAAATTATTATCATGTCAAGAATTCCTCACAAAGTCATCAGTTAAAAGTACCTCGGATAACATCATTATAATTTTTCCTACAATGACTTTCACTTGATGTCACCTTATTATTTTGTTTTCTAAAATACAAAAGTACAAAACATGAAGCAAAATACATTATACTTCTTTTAACGTCGTATTTATGGAGTTCATGGGAAAGATACGAATATCGAAAACAAATATGCTTCATCTGCAATTATGAAGGAATTTGAATAAGAACGTTCATCCTTTCCTGTTCATCGCGTCTAATCAAGATGTTGGGAAAAGACTAGATACAATCCTGATGAAAATCGCACGCACGCGCACACACACACACACACACACACGCGCGCGCGCACGCGCACACACACACACACACACACACACACACACACACACACATACAGAAGAGCGGCATGATGTTAACGCTACATAACAGTGGCGGCGAGAAAGGAATTCTAAAAGTAATGAAGACTCCGATGAGAGACCAGGATCCATGTTATCGCATGATACTGTGAGCCTACTCCTTGGATCGGAAAATCAAACAAAAATTCTCGAAATTATCAGTGAAATCACAGTTCTCCATTGCTGGTTTCACCTGAATAATATTTCCGACATACAGTTGTTAAACCAACTCAACGCACATGTCACGTTGCACAATCGCACTACAAGAATAACGTTTAAGCATTTTGAATGTCAGTGTTGATTGGATTTTTTTTTTATTGTCTTTATTTTCATATTTTAGCCGAAAATAATATTCAATTTTAAATATGCCTTTTATATTTTTGTCTACAAAGGATAGCTGTATCCATTATAATAATTCAAATCAACTTTAAATTCTTCAAAAAAAAAAAAAAAAAAAAACATTAGTGTTATTTTGATATAAGCATTGCCTTGAAAACATCTATCTTAAAAAATAAATGAGTTTTAAATTTAAAGAGATTTGTTTGTTACCCAAGCTTCTCTAAAATGTCTTTTGTTTAAAATAAAAAATAATCTTTTTCTTGCACAGATGTTACAACAAATTAACGATTTAAATTTGCAATCGAATACTGATTATTTACACCACTCATATTTATGATATTCTATTACTAAAGATTTATAACGTTTCTCATATATATTTATTTTTAACATTGCTTATTTGACCTGCAACGCTTTGTTCTTTGTAAACTGATTGTTACAATAGCTAGACATGATATCACGTTTTATCTTTTACTTTTATAAAATTTTTCTCTTAAGTATGAATTATTTTTCCGATTATTATCACAACAAATTGATACAACGAATTTATCTTTGTTATATATTTATGTTAAGAGAGAACACCACAGTGACGGGTTCAAAAAATCGATTTTTTTTTGCATTTTTGTAATGCTTGGAGTCTTAAAAATATGTCCCTATAATATTATGTTGAAATTCCTAACGGAACAATAGTAAATATGTGATAGAGTAAAACGTGGTCAGATGCCGCTAAGACATTCAGCAGTCTCCTTGATCTGTTTGTAGGCAATTTTACCAGTTTCGGACATTCAGCAATCCCCTTGATCTGTTTGTAGGCAGTTTTACCGGCAGTTTTATCAGTTTTTTTTTTTATCAATGAGTACTGAAGCTACAAATATTAATATTATTCAATGAATTTTTTTGAATCTAATAAAAAAGATATGTATTATAATTTTTTCTAAATGTATGCATCAGCATTTTACTTGGAAAAGCATTAATATTTTCAACAGAGAATTCGGCATGAACGAGAGAAAAGGAAAAACGATCCTCTTATCTCTTGGGATAAAGTGTGACTAAAATTATTTGTACCGAATCCATTCGCGCTGCGGGTGACTTTTGTGGTAGATTCATTATTTTTGGTCACTTATCATTTTCTAGCGGAATGAAAATACGCGGTATATATTATATATCTAAAAATACAATCGTACTAACAATAAGAAAAAAAGAACTCAAACATGGTTTTAAAATGTGGAAAATTTCATATGGACCTACCAAAAAAAAAGCAGGAAGTTCCACATTTACCAGATTAAATTTCCAGCATTGTCTAAATAAATTAGACTTTTTTTTTGGTTATTCTTAATATTTTCTTTTCCTCTTTTCAATGTGTTGGACTTAAAGGCACAAGTTGTTTTATTGTGAATTTTAGTAGATAAATTTAAATTTATAAAAAAATGAAATGCAATCCAACATTTATGATAGTAAAAACTCGTTGTTAAAGCTTTCACGAGTATGTAAAAATCTTTTCAGATGCATGTATATAATCTAATACGCAATATAAAAAAATCTGCATTTTAGTTCAAAGACCCGTGAGATTCAAATAAAGGATAAAGATTTCATATCTTTTGACGAAGGATTAAGAATTCGTCATGCTGCTTCTAACATGTAGATTATCCTAATCTCTTCAAGAATTAGAAAAGCAGTGAGTTAAACCGAGATTAAAGTTAATCCCACATTGGCAGAACCGGCTCTCGACACGTTCGCTACCACGGTCACAGAAAAAAATTCATTCAGAAAAAATGACTCCATAGCTCAAACTCTACAATATTTTTACGCAACAACGTGCAGAACATTTCTTTATATAATTATATAACGGCAAATTAACGATAGGATATATATGTGACACTAAGCTCTTAAAACAAACTGGTGTGTCATACATATATGACGCGTGGTAGCGGATGTGTTAAAAAAATTTTATATACAAAGTGTTCTGTAATTGGTGTACATACCAGAGGAAAATAAATGATTCTACATGAAAAATAAAAAAAATAGAATTTTTTATTAGGCTTCTCGGATAGCAAATTGACGTTATTTTGATATCAAAATGACATTCTTAATTATTCACATACGATGGATTTTATTACTTTAAATTATTGAAAAAATGTTTCCAATTCTGTCGAATACACTATTCTTAAATCAAATTCATGCATGCTTCGGTGAATATTTGAAGTTAAAATCTACAGGTATCAAGACCATTACAATGGCGACAAGCAACAGCTTGCTGAGACCATTTATAAATATGAATCTCAGCTTGTCTCTATTTCTGGTTGTTTTTCGGAAAATCGACTCCAAAAGCTTTAAATACTTGTCGGGTACTTGTGCACTTACTATACCTGATGCTTCAAGAATATTTTTAGCGAACGACAATAATTGATATTTGTCTGTACAACCGCTCAATGAGTGCTCGATGAGCTTTTGCATCTAATTGGCATATTCCGTTAGATCTAAAATCATAAACTAAATAGATGTAAGTGCTCACATAGCACTGAATGCACCCAATTAAGTGTACATGTACCGGCAAATATATCAAGTCGATTTTTTCGAAAAGTCTTTCTCCAAAATTTATTCGAAGAAATACTTATTAAATATTATATATATTCGAAGAAATACTTATTAAAATTTAGTAAATTTTTTTCACAGTTTATGTATGTATTTATCGCAGTAATATTACAATTCTTTTGATCAAAAGTTTTGATTCCCGGTCATTGCAACCGATAGCCGTTTTTTCCATGAATGAATGACTGAATGACGTGGCACCCATATGTTATACATATATACTGCGCAAATGTATGAAAAACATCTGTGAAACATCGTAGAAATAGGTCCAAATACAAAAGATTTACAAAAGAGATCGAAATTGATACCTAGTGAAGGAATTCTAAGACAAATACCCTTTGGGACCTTTGTGAATGAAAGAAAAGTAGAAAATATAATAACTTGGGGCAACTTGATGAATTATACATTTCGGGGAAGAAAGATCATATTCGTACACTTTGCTGTAGACATACAGACACTTTTTCATCATTTTCAGTCGATCAATAAAAAAAGGTTACTTTACAATAGAGAAGTATATCACACATTTGCTACCAAACGCAACCTTACATGTAAAATATTGTGCGCGTGATAAACAATTATGTATGTTTATGCGTATGTCATATGTTACAGCGTGTGTGTGTCCAAGATATAAGGTGAATGTACCAGTTAATGGACAGTTAGTGGGCATGGTCCAATTCATCGGACAAAGCAGTATAAAATTTTAAATATTAAGCTTTTAATTATACGTACGATTCTAAATAAATGTTGTTTATACAAATTTAATAACAAATTAATTTAGAATCGTACATACCATTAAAAGCTTTATATTTGAAATGTTTTATCGCTTTATCCAATACAATTGATTCATGTCCACTAATTGGTACATTTACCTTATATATATACATATATGTACATTAATGAAATTCATTCATGAATTTCTTAGCAGCCTTTTAACCTTTAGATGACCACATGCTGTGAAAACGGATCTGTCTCTTTTATGTGGCCTTCTGTTTCTATTTCTCAACGCTTAGTTTTCATATGGAGAGAATTCGGATAAATTGACTTTGCAAAGAAACCAAGATGCGTTTTTCATACATTTGCACATTAAATTAACAAACGGTAGTCGTAGTATTTGAAACAAACTCGTTGTTCGTCCGTTCTGCGCGATCGTCTTTCTCCTCTAAACGCTTTGCGAATACCTTCTTGATAAACTTGCAGTGAGGGTACCACTTAACGTGCTCTTCCACAGGATCATCCTTCTTCTCCCAGGATCTCAGGCATTTTCCACAGTAGAAACACATCGTTTGATCAGAAGGTCCAAAAAGGCCGCTAAGGTAGAAGAAGCCAGCTTTCGCCAATTCTTCTTTTTTTTCACATATCATATCGGAAGTGGATGTTTCGAAAGAGCGTAATCTGCGCTCATATGAAGCGTATGTGGGCTGTTTCGAGCCTAACACGTCGCTGAGCTTAGCCGTGGAGTGGGTGTTCGTTTCGGTGTCCCAGAAGACAGTGATATCAATATCGTTATTCGGATTTTTTTCAATCTGCAAATTGTCGTCCGGACCAGACAGCGGCATAAACTTGCAACCGTAAAGTCCGCAAGTATCCATTCGTTTAGGTTTGGGATACATACTGGGATCGGTGCCAATCGGTACATTTCCACAGGACATATTCCGGACGAAGCTACATTTTCCTGACCAACGTTGATGCTCGACCTTGGGATCATCCCCGTCCATCCAGCCTGACAAAATAATTTGACACGCGAAGCACTTCACTGCATCTTCTTCCTCTGTGTAAAAGAAACCGGCAGCCGCGAGCTTTTTGGGATCGATGAATGGCACATGCCACTTAACGAAAGAATTTAATCTTGCGCTTTCGAAACGATAATCCGCGTAATCCACATCATCGAGTTCAGTCGTCGCGGTCAAAGTTGACGTGTACGACTTTCTGTCCGAATCGTCATGTTCAATTCGATCCAATGTCATTTCTTTTTTTAGATGAAACGTCTGTCCGTGAAAGAATCTGCGAAAAGAAAAAGCAAACGTGACTTGTGGTACAAATTCCTCTGAGTTGATGAATTCTAGCTAAGCCCTATCTACGTCACTTTGTAATGAATCAAGTTAACAATAGTTACATTTTCTTCTGTTGCCTGCTTTCGACAAAAGTATGCGGGACCTCACACAAGTATAACAGGTACACAGAGATAAGCATGAGAATTTTTCCTTTTTTGAAAAAAAAGGTAAGATATTATTGTGGAATTTGAAGAACGATCACGAAAGCTTTTAGATGAACGACAGGTAGGACAAATAACGGACAGATCTATTATATTTATTTACAAGCATACATGGGCGCGCTTAAAGTAAATATTCGTCCCGTCTAATACCGAGCGTTCTCAATCTCACGCTCTTTTTCTCTTTTATATAGTCCAGCAGTACAAAAAGCGTATTCCACTCCAACATACATGTACGTACACAATATCGAGCTGAATTTTTTTTCTATTCGAAATATAGCAGCCGGAGTAATATAAAAATTATTATTGATATAAAAATGTCTTGAGAGGTCAAATTTATTTAAAATACATTCTGAAAATTCTAGTAAGTTTAATATTTTATACTTCAAAGTTATTATTAACTAAACAAGGTTGTTATTATAAACACAAAATCAATTTGCTTATTATGTAAAATGGCTTCTTCGATCGATTTTATAATATATTCTTCGAATAGCATGTGGAGCGAAATAAATGTATAAACTTATACATTTGCACAATGCTATCGTTCCTCAGCATTTATATTTTACTCAATATAATTTTATTATACGAAAGCCATTGTTCGTCGCGTTGGAACGTGTATATTACGGCGAGGTATTCTCACTCGACAGCGTCTACCTTGTTACTGCAACGCCAAATAATTAGACAGTCTACCCCTCGTGTCTTCTGAACGTAGAAATTCTTAATAATCGCGGAAATATTATATAAGTAAGGATTATCACTGCATTCTTGCGCAGTCGTTGTGCAATGTAGTGAAACTATTTGTAACACTCTATTAATAGTGCTTATTTCTACGATGGATTATATAATATTAGGTATATAAAATTTTTAGACACGGATTCGTTTAATACCCACGTTTTGTTTCGGTCATAACATTAATGACCTGTGTATATATTTAAATTTTATCGAGAAAATTTGATAGAGCAGCTACATTTAAGAGAGCTTAATAATGTATAATAATTAAATAATTAATGGAAATTTGAAGAACTAAATAAGAATCAAAATTTCTTGCAATTATATATATATATATATATGTATTCTCTGAGGAACATAATTCCTCACAATTAAAGGATGACATTAAAGCTGCAATTGAAATAAATAAAATGTTTACGAACGAAAACATTTACTGCAAAAAAGTTATTCTGTTTTTTAGTAACTGAAAAATCAATTGTCTTAGCAAGAATCTTATTTATAGTAGCGCTTTTAATAATTTCAAAAGTTAGAGCTTAATCTGAGAATATAAATTTTTTTGTAAAATTCAGAGATTGTTATCTCTATAAAGATATTTCCTTGATAGAAAATCGAGAAACGAATAAAATATAATCGAGCTGACATGCTCATTTTTGAATTTCTAAGTCGTTGTTAAGTCGGGACTTATTGTGGCGGACAGACTACCTGACACAATGACTAAATGACCTTTGTCGACACTTTAGGTTATCAAAAAACAAAGATTAGATACAGTAAAGCGATAAGATTTTACTATTATATTATTTTTATTGCAATTTTCGATATCAGAATATCAAAGGCTTAAACTTTCATAAAAAAAATAATTTAGAAATGATAGCCTTAATGAGCCAACGCAGATAAAATGTATCATATAATCACGTACAGCAAATTTTAATTTATGTAAACGTTTCGATTATTGTTTTGCTCTTTTTCAGTACAAATTATAGACAATAAAATATAGTTATAATTTAAAAATTATAAAATTGTTCATATTCGCAAATACATATATCTATATTCGTTGTTAATATATGTAAAATTCTTGTTATGATAATAGATAATATTGATAAAATATTAAAATCAACTGACCGAAACTATACTTCCTGCTAACTGAAATTTTTAAACAAGGTTAAAATTAAAAACGTTTATTTTAGGATCGACATTTAATCAAAAATAAAAATTTATAAAAACTTACTGTTTGATATCTGTCGAATATTAAGTGAAATTATAGTTGTGTCCAATTTGGAAAGTCATATGTTAAAAATTATAAAATATCAATCCAGATAAGCAGTGGTGTATTGTCATAAAGAGCTCAAGTTGAAATGGTGGTGAATGTCCCTTAAACATCATTAGCGTTAAATATGTGCGGAGGTCGACAAATATTTTGTGTTATTACATGATAATAAATATACGTAACCTATATGTAAGACAGGAAAACATTACAATTCTTTAAGTGTACTTATAATATTGTTGTAAATAAATAGGATCTAAGCACTCAGGCTCATTTTGTAAATTAAGTCCATGAGATTAATTTTTAATATAAATAGCCTCAGATATTAGTCATTTTTTACAGTGATATTCCTCGTCAAAAATTAAAACGTTGTCCCAATTCAAACTCATGCCACTATTTTATTCTATGTTCAGTGATTACTGAGAGTTGGTTGGTATTGTGATTAATTTGATTAATTTTTATATTCTGCTAGTCTCGTTTTAAGTAAACGTTTAATTTGCCCTACATATTCACAATCTTTATATTTTATACTTACTTTATTCACTTATTTATTCTATGTTCAGTGATTACTGAGAGTTGGTTGGTATTGTGATTAATTTGATTAATTTTTATGTTCTGCTAGTCTCGTTTTAAGTAAGTGTTTAATTTGCCCTACATATTCACAATCTTTATATTTTATCTTATAAACTACTCCTGAACGAGAATTAAGAGGTAGTTTGTCTTTCGGTTTTCTGATTACTTAACTTATTAATGTTTAGGTAAATTAGTTTTATGTTACACAAAAATCTGTAAGCTACATTTTAATTAATTAAGCTCGGGTAAAACGTCCGATAGCCTTTACTACAGTAAATCTATGGTCGTGTATATCAGTATATATAGAAATGAATATATTTTTAGAAAAAGATCTCGTTACGATCTCCCGCTGAGTTCGAGACCTTCCTCTTTACAACCCTTCGGATCGATCCGTCCTATCGGAAGTCAGCTGCTATCACCCTACTACAAGAATCTATTCAAAACTTCATTCTTATATATTTCTTGGTACAAGTTTCAATTTTTATTAAATAAAGATTTTTATATTTGTATTAAATAATTATTGACAATGTATAACAGGAATGTTGAAAAGTAAGTCTGAATTTTTCTAGATGTTTTGAAAGCCTAGAATAAAAAATTTGGACTGGACAAAAAGGACTCGGAGTGCCTACGAAGTAATTAAAATAAAAATATGCGTGTTTATGAGGGATGTATAGCTATAATAGAATGAGAAAGATGCATATAAGATAGAATGAGATGTGTGGGTATCTCATCTTATCTTATGCACCTATATCATTTTATCGTAAGGGAAGTTCACCGAAAGATATGACAGATCAACAAACGTATGGCGTCCAATGTGTTACTTGAGGATTTCTAAACCGCGGGAATCACCGCGACCGAATAAGTTCGATAAAATTGTATGTTCTTGATATACACGCGATAGCCGGGCCTCTTATCGTCGCTATTCACTTATTTAATGGCACTGAATCCCAGGAACTGGGAAATTATACGGCCAGAACGAAATTTCAAAGAGTAGATTCTATGTTCAAGCGAGTAATCTTACATGCTCTTAATCAAGCAAACGAAGTCACTCTACCAAGTAATCCTTAAGCGGACGAGTTCATTATACCAAATTGAATTGAAAATATATGGGGAGCAGGCGGATTCGAACCCGGATCCTCAGATCACGAGTCCGATGCTTAACGTGCGGAGCCACACGACTCCCCGCCTCTTATCGTCGGCTTAAGTTCACGAAAGATGTGGTATTACGTCAATTGCCTCGTGGGCTTTGATAACAGAAACGTAATACGACGTCATCGGTCACGAAAGTGTCAATAAATTTGACGATAATAAAATTTAATTACGAGAGTACACACAGAGCCTCCTTATAATTGTCTTATCAACTCTCCCTATTCGCCGCTACCGCGCGCGTTACGTTATATACATGCGACCGATCGTTTATGAGAATCGTTATACGATAATAAGAAGTACTACAACATCGAATTTGCATTGCAATCAGTTCTACAAATGATTGGCGCAATCCAACAAAACGAGTAATTTTTTATCTAAAAATAAATAATTAAGCAGATTCTCAGTTTAATATTACTTTTTCACTGAAAAAAAGATGGTTCATTTGATTAATTTTAATTCGATTATAATTTAGTTAATCGTGTTCTTTTATTTCTGTTTTTTTTTTTTATTCAATAATGTTATACATTTCAAGTGTATAATATGTTTAACTTATAAATAAACAATTTTTCTCGTCAGTGTTTTAAGATGTTGAAATATTTTAAACTTTATTAAATTTAAATACCGACGACTGCTTTTCCAATTAAAGCGATTAATCCAAGCCTTAATGAGAAAATGCCGGTAATTTTCCGAGGTTTGAAAACATGACGATTAAACTCACTAGTTTTCAGCAGACACACATCTTTCTGGATTCAAAAATTGCAACGCGTACGATTCACACAGATTTCTCTCATTCGTATTGCGACGCGATTGATCGATTGAAGCGGGAACAATACGAGTAGCAAACGAATCGTAATCACGGCGCGAGACGCGGTTAAGACGAAGGCTCGGCTCTCCGTCAGTTTTCTTTATTATTCTACAATTTGCCCTGCGGCTCATCGGCGGATAAAACCAATCGATCGATTTATCGGCGCGATAAAGCCACACACACACGATACCGTTCCTCGATTTCGCCTAGCTTCTGAACTAAACCCTGCAGATACGACTCCGATGTTGTTTTCGCGACGGGATATCGATCCGCCTCTCTTTCTTTTTCTTTTTACGTGATTGCCGTTGAATTCCATCGCGAGCACGGAAAAATTACCGCGCGAGGCTCGTTGCACGCTGAAGGTTCTCGCACACTGAGAAACGCGCGGCCGCGTTCTTTTTCCCAGCGCAAACCGTAGATCTGTTTTCTGCGGCTGAATTAGGGTACACTTTTGAAACTTAAAAGTGAGATATATAGCTATACGGTGGCTTGCAAAAGTTTCCAGCCAGTGACATTTTGTATTCTAATTTATGAAAAAAAAAAAGAAATCCTGATAAAATTTTATTGTTATCGGGTGTTAGTACAAAAAAAATGTGGGTAACGAATCTTGTACTAACATCTGACGATAAATTTTAAAATTTAACTGTTTTGTTTTATAAATTAAAGTAAACAAAATGTCACTGGCCGGAAACTTTGCACGCCACTGCGTATGTTTGATATTTGTCGAAAGCGAGAAAGAGAGTTCTAGTGCGGTCTGGTAAAGGAACAGAAAACAGTCTACATAAATAAAAAAAAAGTTCTTCCTATCGGTATCAGTTCCGGACCGGATTCCAGTTTGTGACACATATTCGGTGTTCCGCAATAATGACTGTGCATCTGTTATCGTCGTGGGTGGGCAGAACGACCGCTATCGTAATGCGGATGTTGAAAGTGCGCAGCACGAAAAAAACGAGAAATATGATCTCGAGTAAATTTTCATTTCACGTCCCACTCTCTACAAACATTTTCCATTAAGAGATTAGTCTGGATTATAATACTTACGAATGAAACTTTTCTAATGAAAGATTAATATAGATTACACATTTGACAAATGAATCTTCTCGCTTAAGAGTTTAATGTGGATTATGAGAGAAAATTATTTCTTGTAATAATACTATAAACTTTTTTGCATATTCGTATCAAATTGGCAAATTGATTTTTCACAGAATCGTTCTCGTGGCGTATTTAATTTTTCTAGGAAAATCGGAAATTGAATTAAGATATGTATATTATTGTATAAAATAATTATTATATGTGAAAGTTGATTGGTTTGTAAGAACATTGCACATTTATCACTGTAGAAAAAATATATTGCTTTATGCTAGCAGAAACATTTTCTTTTTCTTTGTGAAGTTATTATTATTCAGAAATAGAAAAAACAAAGATTTGGTGTTGAAAAGAGGTAACGATGAATTTTCTTCTTACACTCACGTCGATAATAACGTGTCGTAGAGTCATTTGCATATTTTGTGGAAATGTTTCCCATCGTGCGTGTTATGCAATGCACATTATGAATAATTTATTTTGTGATTAATATGTTACATCCCGCTAAAAACCCCTCTTTCTTCATTATTATAAGTATATGATTCATACATTTTCTTTATCCTATTTCTAGTTTGGTATTTCGTCTTACAATTAGTCAGATATTTTGTCTCCATTAGAAGGGCCTATCTTAGTTTATAAACATTCAAACAACAAATGGCTCACGCTCGCATACCTTGGCACGGCAGTGTCGCGCGCTTGGCTTAGCGCCGAGACACTACCGTGTCTCCAGATATCTATTTTATAATCTTTTTTCCTTCGAGGGCCTTTTTCTAGAAAATGTTAAACAATAGCATATATGCCTAATAATTAAGTAATAATATATGGTAAAAATTAAGACCTTTCCGAATGCGAGGATGAATATCTCTTATTTTTCTTTTTCTTTCTTTTATCTCTTATTCTTAATGAAACTAAAATCCAAGAGTCATAATACATAAAGTTATAAAATATTTTAACCCATTAACGACCAAGATGACGGGATTTTTAGCTCATTTTCAAAGCTCTCTAGCAAATCGAAAAATGAAAATATCATAATGAAACCAACTTATTTTACTATTTTTGGGTATGCTCTATCGATTTATGGGGTCAAAATTGCGTTTCGACGGGATTATTATATATACCATATTTTCTATATGCATATTTTTTCATGTCTCTCATTAGAAAATGGTTCACAGCGCGAATATGCACAGTGAGAAAGCACATGTTGAATAATTTTATATAATCAGATGGACCCCGAGTAATGCTGTACTCATCGTAAATCATAAGTTCAGGATTTCATGAATTTTTTCCCAAGAATCAATGCAATCAATCACAAAACGACCAAGAACACTTTTTCACGGAAATTTTACGAAGAATATAGTACGATTTTTTTATTCGGAAATAATGTAATTTTTAATATTCCACCCGCCATATTGGATCCGCCATTTTGAATTTTGAAAAACCGTCGTTGTATTTCGATCCAATGTAATCCGAAACATAAAAAAATGTAATAAAACAAAGCACCGAAACATTTACCGACGAGACATGTGAGAAATTCCGTTATTTTTTTAGTTCCAGGGCCGCCATATTGAATCCGCTATTATTAACATCGTGAAATATATTAAAAAGCGACCAGGAATATTTAATAAATCAAAATTTTACGTTTTGAGACAAAAATTTTGATTAATGTCGATTTATTTCAGAAATATTTAGGAAAAACACGTATTTTTAGAAATTTTCACACTTTTCCGCCATTTTTAATAGGATAAACTGAATGGAGCTGAATAAAAAAATTTTTCCCTTAAACTACAACTTATTTGTCCACGTTTGTCCATAGTTTGGAATGGATCGCCATCCCTTATCCACTTGAAAAAAATTGACGAAGAAAAAAAATTTCCGATTTTTCGGTACTTTTTCAAATAAAATCCGCCATATTGTTTTTCTGCGGCATGGGAACGCAATTTTGACCCCATAAATCGATAGAGCATACCCAAAAATAGTAAAATAAGTTGGTTTCATTATGATATTTTCATTTTTCGATTTGCTAGAGAGCTTTGAAAATGAGCTAAAAATCCCGTCATCTTGGTCGTTAATGGGTTAACCCAATTTAAAATATACAACATTAATATAATTTAGAACATGTCGTTACATTTCGCCTCGCATAAGGATATTAGTTAAGGAAGATCGAACTTTTATAAATTATTAAAACTCTCGTCTACTAACAATAAGATAAGACTAGATTCGTAGTGTCGGGAGTAGGGCTTACGCGGAGCGCTGCTCCCTTATCGTAAGAAAACAAGCGCGAGCATAGGTTCCACCAAATTCTAAAGAATCCTGATTGGTCCTGAAAGGATACTCCCACGTTCATTTTTTAGTATAAAAGAGCTGCGGAAAACGTGTCCAATAGTGCGGTTCATCTATTACAGGACACTTTATTATCTTACAATGCCATTGAACTGAGCTGTGTTCGGCGCAAAAAGAATTTGTTTGTCCCGCTGCCCCTTGTAATCATGAATGTAATACAAGTGTAATGAATCACCAAAATCATCATAGTTCCACGCGAAAGAGGGACGCGATGAGATATTCTCATGCAGCGGATGCACTCTCGATAACAAAATACATTCTCGTATTCATTAATCAAATGTTAGGATTAATAACCACCGACTGGATAACAAATTCTTCATGGAGGAGATGGCGAACTTATTTTCCTTTCTTAGTTTGCCTATTTTGTGTGACGCAGTGTTCAGCTCGCACTTGCTCAGTTGGATTAAGCACACCGGGATGTAAGTTTCGTTTAAATATATCTCTGTATATAAATACAATCAAATATATACTCGTAAAACACATTGTATTCTCAATTTTGATATTAACGATTAGTAAATTATTTGTGAGCTATTTGGATTGATATTTAAATTGGCATGATTTTGTTTTCATTATATTCATACTGCATAGGCTGCGTTTCATTTGCTGCTTGTAGCGCTCTTGAAATTTCATTCTTTTTATAGTTTATCAAAGACAAAGTGATGCTTATAAGCGCTGTGAGCGTCAAATGGAATACACTCGTAATGCACATTTTGAGATATATTAGAATGTACGTGTTTACGTATTATAGAGCAGAAATAAAAGCCGTTTTCTATTTCTCTCGCATGCGTACCACTGGTGCGTTAGGATTATAAATAAAACACATGTCTTATCTCTCCTTTTGGAATTCTGTCGAGCTAAATGTATATATCTATATTTAATACTCGAGCTGTGCAGTTTACATTGAAATTGTGACCTAACTCTGTGCATTCTTATGACATTTTACGTTTACGTATACATTTTACGTTTTATAGTATTTATAATGCAAATTTGTCTAGCATATATGAATTTTGGTTTAATTATTTTATTTACTTATAAAGAGAGTTTGCTTATAATCTATGAATTTTTATAATTGAATTATCTTGTACTTTCTATTTCAAATAACAAGACTATAAAATTTCATCTTGTTCTTAATGCTATTCGTAGGGACTTGGCCACAAGGTGATATTATTATCCAACATGGTAAACCACTCAGTATGCTGTGTCTATTGAATGACACTATCGTAAAACGTGACTATCCTAATAAAGATGCAGGAAATCTCCGATTCTTTCGTAATAATCAAGAACTGAAATCGGAATTCGTCACGGTAATTAATGAAACTACGATAGAGCTGTTTATCAAAACACCACCACCCTCCGACGATATGTACAATTGCAAGTTGCAAGTAAAGGAAAACGACTATATAGCAGTTTGTCTCAATAAAGTTGTAGTTGGATGTAAGTAATTATACTTATTTTAATTATATTATCTGTGTATATTCCATTGTATTAACGGGTCTTTAAACTGATGGAACAATCAAGAAAGACACGACTTCTCGCGAAAAAATAAGTTAAAATAATTAAAATATAATTTTTTCACACAAAATCTCATAAAATAAATTTTATTTTACATTTTCGTCTTATTTTTTGTCAGTTCTTTAGTTGTATTATCAGTTCTAAGATATCTGATGTATGTGCTATTCTATTAAAGAGTTTATAATCTATTAAAAAAAAGATACTTTTTGTAATCTGAAGAATTTGGGTATCGAGAAACATATACATCTTATTTTTTATAATTATCACACGTATTTGAAATATAGCTATCTACATATCCAATAGAAGTTACATTTATTCTTATCAATATGACCCGATGATATTTTGCAGAGACAGTACAGTGCATTGATTCTCTTTTCATTAGTTACGAGTAAATCGTTTGACATGCATGCGTCTTAGAAATCGTTTTATCATCGACAATAAAGATAACTAGAAAGCGGATACTATACAATATAATATTAAGAGTTAATCAAATCACTTCCCTCGTAGAAATTTACTTATTTGTAGTATCGATATTTATGTTACATTTCTATTTATGTAATAGATTTTAATTTTAATATGATACATATAAAATATCTGCACAATACCTCAAAAGCGATAAAAATTGAAAATTTGTATCGATAGAAACTAATAGAATTGATCGTGATATGCAATGTTTATAAACATGTTTATAAACGTTTATAAACACAATTTTGAATATCTGTTATCAACTATTTAGCGAATATCAAAAACTATATTTAAAAATTATTTATGTAGTTTAAAAAACAATACATTTTTTTATGTGAAATATTTTATTTTATTTTACTTGTTTTGTTTCACGACAGATCCACCTCAAAAACCTAAACATTTTGACTGTGTTTCCTATAATTGGGAAAGCTTTAATTGCACATGGGAGCCAGAACATAATTTCGTCCATACAAAATACGATTTAATGTTCCAATTATCTGGAAGATCAGGAGCAATGTATTACTGTCCACTTGCAACAACAGAAGAGAATTCATGCACGTGGGATATATATTCCGATCCAATATATAGGCAACCGTATGCAGTTTATATTTTCATATTGAAAGTATCTAATCCTTTTGGGGAACTCAACTTTACATATCGTGTCCCGCATTATCCTAATGGTATGTAAATCTTATATAGATTACTATATTATATTTATTTCTCCTCATAAAAATCTCTTGTAATGAGAAATGTACAGTTTTTATGTGCTCTGTATACTTAACATTGAGAATTATTTTTTTCAGTTATTCCGGCTAAACCTTACAATCTTACCTTAATAAACAAAACATCGGAAAGTGCACTGTTGCATTGGGAACTCCCCTTTCCAATGGCGACATTTCCAGTTGGTGTTCATCATAAAATTATGTATCAACATCAATGGGATCATGAAAAAGATTGGAAGGTATGATCGTATTGATTCAAGTTTTTTATTTTATTAGATAATTTGTCGATGTCGCACTTATTGAAAAGAGTTATCAATTTTGTGATAAACAATAATAATGTTGATTCAAACTTATTCTCCCCTTGTCTATAGGTCATAAATATTACGCATCCTGAGAATAGAGAGCAATGGCTTTACAATCTTACCGGATTAGAGTACGCTAACACAGTATATGATGTTCGAATTTATTTAAAAAGCTCGACAGCTGTAAGACCGGACCGATGGAGTGAATTTAGTGTTGTTACATTCAGGACGTCATCAAAATGTAAATAAATTAATGAATTAGGAAAAGAATCTGTTGTTTTTGTTATTTATGTGATATAACTATAATCGATATAAATACTTATTATTATTACAAATTTGGCTATGACTAATTAACAGATAACATCTATCTGTTTCTATTAAATTTTATTTGATTTAACTTTAGTACCTAGTGCTGCACCGCGAACTGACATCGGTAGCTTCGAAATTGCTGAAAATAATGGAAACAGGGACGTATATTTGTACTGGCAAGCGATACCACAGAATCAAGAAAATGGCGATAATTTTAAGTATCAAATTATTCACATGGAGGAAAATGGCCAGAAAGTTGCACTTACACCAAGTGAAACAACTAGGACATATGCCAAATTGAAAGGAATCAGCCTCAATAGTTACCTGTTCGAGATCGTTTCAACGAATGAAGTCGGAACTAACAACAGCCGTGCGAGAATATACGTACCAAATCAGAAAAAAAGTGAGTATAATAAGAAGATAGATGTTAAGAGAGGACAGAAAGATTCAAGTATCTACCTAACAATTTAATACATTATTTTGTTCTTAGTACCACATGAACCAATAGCGTTCACGAAAATTGATTTTGAAAATGGATTGTATGAATTATCTTGGAAGCCACCGTTCGAAGATTATAACATCAAGAATTACACAATCTTTTGGTGCGACAATGAACGTGATCGTCCTTATCAGTGTACCGTATGTATCCATATTTTCTTTTACATTATTCGAAAAATAATTTTGTTCACAAATAAAAGCATATTTCACATAAAAGTTTTATTTCACATAAAAGTTTACACTCAGCGTTGAATGATATGTTTGCAGGGTTACTTGGACTGGGTGCACGTGCCTAAAAATACTATGATCTACAACATAACAGTACCGAATCCGTCCAAGGTATACCAATTTGCAATCTCCGTCAATACTGAGAGAGGTAGCAGCGGCATGATATGGTCGTCATGTACGGTAATTCATAATAAGGTGCTCGGCAAAATGAAGTCTGTTTGGATCAATCGCATTGGATCGCACTTTATCGAAGTCGGTTGGAAGCCTGATTGTTCAGATCGCATTGGGATAATTGAAGGATTCAATATCTACTACTGTCCCATAGTATCACCAATGAATGTCAACTGTAACGGTCCCATGTTTAATAGTACCATCAAGGCGGACGCACATACGATACATGGCATTGTCGATAACCTGAAGCCCTACACTACGTACATGCTGAGTGTCGCGGTGCTGACGAAGAGCGGTGAGGGTCTGCGTAGTCATCCCCTGTATAATACCACTCTCGAAGCGGCGCCCAGTACCCCACCGGCAAACGTGAGAATCACTGACTTGTCCAACACGACAATGTATATCTCATGGAAAAAGCCGACGACGATGAACGGTGTGCTCAGATATCATGAAGTTTACTATAATGATCAAATCATTAGAGTGGATGATAAGGATTACATCAAACTGATGGGTTTAAAGCCGTATACGAAATATTTTATTAGTGTTTCCGCTTGTACCGTTCAGTGCAGTGAAAAGTCATCGATGATAGATAATTTCACGAGAATTGGCGTGCCTGGCAAAATCATGATTCCTTTAGTACGCTTTGTAAACTCCAGCCAAGTGATCATCCAGTGGGAACCACCGCAAGAACCAGCCGGTCCAATAGAGCATATGTATTACGAAATAGAGTATGGAAATGGCTTGATTCAGAACGTTACGAGAACAGGTGAGACTGTCTTTAATAGAAAAATTTAAGAATCTTTCCTTAATAGAAAAAAATTGAGAAAATTTCTGAGATAAAATTAAATTAAACTATAATAAGAAAAATAATCCTTTCAAATAAAATTCAATTTTCTTGAATTATTTTATTTTTCTATTCAACTTAATTTTATTTGTGTTGAATGATATAGTGCTAAATGTAATAGTTACACATGAAATAAGAAATGAAAGGAGAGAGAGTAAAAAATATGAAGGTTATAGAAGAAATAATACGAAAATTCAATTTTGATATTATTTGTTTATATTGCAGAAGTGCAATTGCCCATTCCCGACTGCAAAAACGTCGAGCATCGAGAGCAGAAGCACAGATTCCGAGTTAGAGCTATTAACACCAATCTTAACGGTGAAGTTTTGAAAGGATCCTGGTCCGACTTTGGGGAGGAAAATTGTTATAATAATGGTCTTTCAGTCTATTATTATTATTATTATTATTAAAAAAAGCAAACACGACACACACAAATTGCGGCTGATTTAATTTTATGTGAACACGTTTGCTTATAAAATTGAGCACATTTGTTATAACTTATATATACACATATATGGCATATTAATATTTGTGAGTATAAATGACGACATTTAACATTGAGAACATTCAACGTTGCACTTTTAATATCTTTTTATAATAAAAAGTAATAATGATGACTACAGTTTTTATTATTCGAAAAAATACTTATTAAAATTTAGTAAATTTTTTTCACAGTTTATGTATGTATTTATCGTAGTAACATTACAATTCTTTTGATCAAAAGTTTTGATTCCCGGTCATTGCAACCGATAGCCGTTTTTTCCATGAATGAATGACTGAATGACGTGGCACCCATATGTTATACATATATACTGCGCAAATGTATGAAAAACATCTGTGAAACATCGTAGAAATAGGTCCAAATACAAAAGATTTACAAAAGAGATCGAAATTGATACCTAGTGAAGGAATTCTAATGGCTCCTGCACACCAAGCGCGATGCGCGACACGCGATACGCGATATCCAATATGCATACATCTTTATCGATGTTCTCATTCTAAAGCTGTACGCTTATTAGATATCGCGTATCGCGTGTCGCGCATCGCGCTTGGTGTGCAGGAGCCATAAGACAAATACCCTTTGGGACCTTTGTGAATGAAAGAAAAGCTGAAAATATAATAACTTGGGACAACTTGATGAATTACACATTTCGGGGAAGAAAGATCATATTCGTACACTTTGCTGTAGACATACAGACAATTTTTCATCATTTTCAGTCGATCAATAAAAAAAGGTTACTTTACAATAGAGAAGTATATCACACATTTGCTATCAAACGCAACCTTACATGTAAAATATTGTGCGCGTGATAAACAATTATGTATGTTTATGCATATGTCATATGTTACAGCGTGTGTGTGTCCAAGATATAAGGTGAATGTACCAGTTAATGGACAGTTAGTGGGCATGGTCCAATTCATCGGACAAAGCAGTATAAAATTTTAAATATTAAGCTTTTAATTATACGTACGATTCTAAATAAATGTTGTTTATACAAATTTAATAACAAATTAATTAACGTCTGTTCGTGCAAGAATCTGCGAAAAGAAAAAGCAAACGTGACTTGTGGTACAAATTCCTCTGAGTTGATGAATTCTAGCTAAGCCCTATCTACGTCACTTTGTAATGAATCAAGTTAACAATAGTTACATTTTCTTCTGTTGCCTGCTTTCGACAAAAGTATGCGGGACCTCACACAAGTATAACAGGTACACAGAGATAAGCATGAGAATTTTTCCTTTTTTGAAAAAAAAGGTAAGATATTATTGTGGAATTTGAAGAACGATCACGAAAGCTTTTAGATGAACGACAGGTAGGACAAATAACGGACAGATCTATTATATTTATTTACAAGCATACATGGGCGCGCTTAAAGTAAATATTCGTCCCGTCTAATACCGAGCGTTCTCAATCTCACGCTCTTTTTCTCTTTTATATAGTCCAGCAGTACAAAAAGCGTATTCCACTCCAACATACATGTACGTACACAATATCGAGCTGAATTTTTTTTCTATTCGAAATATAGCAGCCGGAGTAATATAAAAATTATTATTGATATAAAAATGTCTTGAGAGGTCAAATTTATTTAAAATACATTCTGAAAATTCTAGTAAGTTTAATATTTTATACTTCAAAGTTATTATTAACTAAACAAGGTTGTTATTATAAACACAAAATCAATTTGCTTATTATGTAAAATGGCTTCTTCGATCGATTTTATAATATATTCTTCGAATAGCATGTGGAGCGAAATAAATGTATAAACTTATACATTTGCACAATGCTATCGTTCCTCAGCATTTATATTTTACTCAATATAATTTTATTATACGAAAGCCATTGTTCGTCGCGTTGGAACGTGTATATTACGGCGAGGTATTCTCACTCGACAGCGTCTACCTTGTTACTGCAACGCCAAATAATTAGACAGTCTACCCCTCGTGTCTTCTGAACGTAGAAATTCTTAATAATCGCGGAAATATTATATAAGTAAGGATTATCACTGCATTCTTGCGCAGTCGTTGTGCAATGTAGTGAAACTATTTGTAACACTCTATTAATAGTGCTTATTTCTACGATGGATTATATAATATTAGGTATATAAAATTTTTAGACACGGATTCGTTTAATACCCACGTTTTGTTTCGGTCATAACATTAATGACCTGTGTATATATTTAAATTTTATCGAGAAAATTTGATAGAGCAGCTACATTTAAGAGAGCTTAATAATGTATAATAATTAAATAATTAATGGAAATTTGAAGAACTAAATAAGAATCAAAATTTCTTGCAATTATATATATATATATATATATATGTGTATTCTCTGAGGAATATAATTCCTCACAATTAAAAGATGACATTAAAGCTGCAGTTGAAATAAATAAAATGTTTACGAACGAAAACATTTGCAAAAAAAGTTATTCTGTTTTTTAGTAACTGAAAAATCAATTGTCTTAGCAAGAATCTTATTTATAGTAGCACTTTTAATAATTTCAAAAGTTAGAGCTTAATCTGAGAATAGAAATTTTTTTGTAAAATTCAGAGATTGTTATCTCTATAAAGATATTTCCTTGATAGAAAATGGAGAAACGAATAAAATATAGTCGTTGTTAAGTCGGGACTTATTGTGGCGGACACCTGACACAATGACTAAATGACCTTTGTCGACATTTTAGGTTATCAAAAAACAAAGATTAGATACAGTAAAGCGATAAGATTTTCTTATTATATTATTTTTATTGCAATTTCCGATATCAAAATATCAAAGGCTTAAACTTTCATAAAAAAAATAATTTAGAAATGATAGCCTTAATGAGCCAACGCAGATAAAATGTATCATATAATCACGTACAGCAAATTTTAATTTATGTAAACGTTTCGATTATTGTTTTGCTCTTTTTCAGTACAAATTATAGACAATAAAATATAGTTATAATTTAAAAATTATAAAATTGTTCATATTCGCAAATACATATATCTATATTCGTTGTTAATATATGTAAAATTCTTGTTATGATAATAGATAATATTGATAAAATATTAAAATCAACTGAACGAAACTATACTTCCTGCTAACTGAAATTTTTAAACAAGGCTAAAACGTTCATTTTTGGATCGACATTTAATCAAAAATAAAAATTTATAAAAACTTACAGTTTGATATCTGTCGAATATTAAGTGAAATTATAGTTGTGTCCAATTTGGAAAGTCATATGTTAAAAATTATAAAATATCAATCCAGATAAGCAGTGGTGTATCGTCATAAAGAGCTCAAGTTGAAATGGTGGTGAATGTCCTTAAACATCAGTAGCGTTAAATATGTGCGGAGGTCGACAAATATTTTGTGTTTTTACATGATAATAAATATTTCAGATATTAGTCATTTTTTACAGTGATATTCCTCGTCAAAAATTAAAACGTTGTCCCAATTCAAACTCATGCCACTATTTTATTCTATGTTCAGTGATTACTGAGAGTTGGTTGGTATTGTGATTAATTTGATTAATTTTTATATTCTGCTAGTCTCGTTTTAAGTAAACGTTTAATTTGCCCTACATATTCACAATCTTTATATTTTATACTTACTTTATTCACTTATACTTACTATTAGCACTTTGATCCAGCTTTGACCGTTATAGGCGTTTAATTCCTTCATTGTTTATATTTTATCTTATAAACTACTCCTGAACGAGAATTAAGAGGTAGTTTGTCTTTCGGTTTTCTGATTACTTAACTTATTAATGTTTAGGTAAATTAGTTTTATGTTACACAAAAATCTGTAAGCTACATTTTAATTAATTAAGCTCGGGTAAAACGTCCGATAGCCTTTACTACAGTAAATCTATGGTCGTATATATCAGTATATATAGAAATGAATATATTTTTAGAAAAAGATCTCGTTACGATCTCCCGCTGAGTTCGAGACCTTCCTCTTTACAACCCTTCGAATCGATCCGTCCTATCGGAAGTCAGCTGCTATCATCCTACTACAAGAATCTATTTAAAACTTCGCATTCGCTGATCGCTTCCCTTTGTGAGTCACACAGTGGGAATAAATAAGAATTACAAGCTAGAATGATATCAGAGAGTGATGCAGCCCCGATAATCTCACGTGGCGAGAATCTCCGCCAGCCGGCAAAAGAGAGAGATAGGGGTAGGCGAGGGGGTGCGACAAATGAGAGAAAGAGAAAATGAGCGAGAGAGATAAAGAGAAAGGGATGAATGATGTAGACTGCGCGGCATGACAAACGGCGGAGGGGAAAGGAAGGAAGGAAGGAATGCTTTAGCCGTACCAAGCCGTGCCCGCAGCGTGCCTTTGTACGGAAGAGAAAGAGCGTCACGTGCACCGGCAGACACTGGCGCGCCGCGGCGCCTTGCTGGCGCAGCCGATGAATTTGTGCGCGTTTCACGAATTATTCTCGTCCCCTTGGCAACACTCGCTCGCTCTTTATCCCTTGAGTGAAACGGAACGGAGTGGGGAGGAGACGAGACAAAAAATTTCCCGGTACTCGCGTACAAAAGCATCAAAGACGGAATGAACGAAATGACTGAAAGAGAAAGAGAGACAAAGATAGAAGTCGATCGGGACTGATACTGCTAGAGAATAATCGATTTTTCGCGGAAATTGATAAAGTCTATCGGCGTTGACACAAGGATGATGAAAAAAGACAGAGAGCGAGAGAGAGAGAGAGAGAGAGAGAGAGAAATGGAGAGAACAGGCAATCTTATCTACACCTGTATGTACTTTTCTACCATGCCGCACCGTTTCCCTCACTCGCGCCATTCAAGAGGTGTCAACGTACCGCTGATAAGGCGTGTGTTGTCACTGCTTCTCTCTTTGACACTTCCGTGTGTCACTGGTGATCCCTCACTCTAAAAACGGAAGTCGATTCTCGCTGCTCTTCGTTGCGAAGCTCTTTTCCGAAGGTGCCGGTGTGTCACTGCCACGTGTTTTCAGAGGATCAGAGGTGTATCACTTGTTATTCGGATTACCCGTTGTCCACCAAGATCTGGTATCGCTTGCAGTTCCCGCTCGGCTGTCCGGAATAGTAAAACCCGCGACTCAACTCGATTTGATCGTGATGACGTACCGAAAGGTTACGATTCACTCGAGGGCGACTGCCGGGCGGAAAGTATTCCGAAATGGAAGACCGAAACACTGAATTTCGCATTCGGGCAAAGAAAAATGTAAAAAGCGGGAGAAGAACAACGGATTTTCCAATCGCAGGACACGTGTCGAGATCGCAAGATCGTCAGGGGCTGTCCTTAGCAAACCGTTTTACAAAAGATCCCCGCAAGCCACGACTCTATCGAGACCGGTAGGACGTGGAGCAGCGGTGGCAAGCAAGGGAAGGGTGGATCGTAGTCAATAGGGAGGGAGGGAAGGAGGGAGGCATGAATGGCATAAGTTCTCGACCTTCTCGACAGATGAGCCACCAGCATTGGTCACTCATATGGTCTACTCTTTTCGTGGAGGCTGATGGATTAAAAAACGTTAAGAAACTAAAGGAGATGATCTCTCTCTCTCTCTCTCTCTCTCTCTCTCTCTCTCTCTCTCTCTCTCTCTTTCTCTAAAATTTTCGGCTAATCCGAACATTATTTCAAGTTGAATACGTGTTAACTATAATAACTTTTTTTTGGAGGAAATGTCTGATTTTTTATTCTCTCGAAAAAAATTAACGCTCGGATCTTGAGGAAGAATTGCGTTATATTGAGGAACATGTAAAGTATATTCTGTTTTTAGAAAAATCTAATTTTGTAAATTAAAAACATGATATATATATATATATATACAACGGCGGCTTTGAGAATAAATAATAGTAATATCAATAAATAATAATAATCTAATAATAAATTAACACGCCAGAAAAAGCCAATACAGATCTATTTGAAGTTAATCTGATTTTACTTCTGTATAGAATAACTCTGAATTTAACTCTCTTATTCAATACTATAAGATATCTCGTTAATTTGCAGGAATTGCGTGATAATAAAAAGAAATCTAAATGGAAACTTTCCACCCGTGATCAGTGCGGTTATCTGAATATGTCTGTCGCGATATTTATCAAGTTCAGGAATGCGACTTGATAAAATTATGGTCAACAATCGCGTCACTTAGAAAAAAAATAACTCAAAAGAGAACAGGTGTGAAATTCTTTTATATTTTAAGAAATTGTACATGGCATATGACATCGATCTCGCGATGAATTTCTATCTCACAATGCTAACAATATATTATGAATCTAATGTAACATAAAATCTTTCCTCGATATTTTACACAACAGTTTACTTATACAGCTAATTACTATAGGGGGGTATATAGAAATATCACATTTATATTAATTTCTATAAACATGAAGATATCTTTCGTTATTTCTTTGGAATGATTCTAGCCGATTTTGCTTTCTTAGAATAATTACATCTATTCGTTTTTTGTTGTACACAATAAATTTTTTGTAATATATCAAGTGTTCCGTATTAGCTGCAGAAGATTCTCGGATCTCTCTATTCTATAATCAATCAACAGGTTTAAAAAATTTGTCATACGGCAAAAACGGACAAGCATAATATTGGCCTTAAGATTACGTACTAATGTAAGACTAGAAACTAGTATGGGCAGCTATACATATACATATATATATATATAAATATATGTATTATTTCTGTAATTTGTTTATCTTTAATAGTAATTCTACAATTTGCTCTCTGTTTCCTGCTGTTTGTCTCTTGCCTTTTTGTCAAAAAGGCAAGAGTGGACAAGAGACAAACAGCAAGAAACAAAGAGCACATTGCAGAGTTACCATAACACGTTGAGCGCCGGCGACACAATACCGTATGCCACAGATTTCTATAATTTCCAGCAATATACTAAAATAACTAATCAAGGTTCTCAAATTGCATAAAAAAATAAGTTTCCAAACATTGGATAGTTTTAAGGTTCGGCTGCTATAAACGGTACATCTATAAAAATTGGTCGGCGCTCAATATGTTAAAAATCATCGAATTGACAATCGTCTGTCGATTTAATCATTTTACGTTTCTTTGTACTCACTTTCGACAAACGCAACAACACTGATTTCTATAGCTTTAACTATCTTGACTATTATACATATTATCTGTAAGAAACGACGTTCACATACACATATATATTTTATCACTATGAGACATCATGGAGACGTATCCCACTGAGCGAGATTGTGTCTCTTTTGTACATGTCCTGACACAAATGTGTTTTAAGCAACCATTTAAATTCCAATTAGAATTTATTAGAAAGTTTTCACGCTGATTTTTTTTCATCAACATATACAAATATCGTCAAGTGATACTTTTTGTTGACTGGATTATATCTGTATGATATATTTAATGTATATTACGAAGATATCAATATATAACATAAGTAATGTAGCAGAGTTATATGTCCAAGTCCAATGATTTCAATATAATATTAGATTAATATTTTACAAAATTAACAATGATATAATGATTTATTATTATATCTGTAAAAACTGACAATGTACAAATAATAATTAATATAATGTGATAATAATTGTAGCCCAGTCTGTAATCAGTTGCAACCTTTTCAAGTTTTCTTTACACTTTTTCACTTTTACAAACAAATTAAGAGATATTTAACATTATTGTCATTTTCAATAAAATTAGAACAGATGAGACATTTATATGCAAATTATATACATATATAAATAATATAAATCAAATTAAGAGAAATGGCGTAAATTCGGTATCTTAGTTTCTCTTCCACCCCTCCCGCCAATCTTCATCAAATTTTTTTATTATATATCAAGTCTATACAATCAGTTTCAATTATTTTTCAAAATTTTCTTTATACTTCTTTATTTTTATAAAATTAGCTGAGATATTTTACATTATTGTCATTAAAATAAAATTATAACAGATGATAAACATTTGTAAGTAAAACATTTTAAATAATATAAATCAGAAAAAATAATGTGAAAATATACATTAAATATTATAGCTAAAATAATGAAAATTTAAATAAAATTAATAAAGGGCCACAAGCCAGAAACAATAAATCTGTTGTGATCGATATACAAATTAAAAATAAAAATAAAAGTAACGCTATACATAAATTCACAGACTTTCGCTTCGATCGTGTAATTTTCAATGTTAAACATAATATAAAAATAATAATAAATATTGTCATGATATAGAAATGGTTGAAAGTTATGAACAATGAGTCGAGATTGATACAGACTTATATGTACAAATGTTCAAATGCAAATGGTGATATTAAATCCATTCAGTTCCTTATTTTCATTTTCAAAAAATAACGTGTCCTTGTCGCCATTACATACAGTTCCATTTTTGTGGTATAAATTCGACTTTTTAGTGGCTCTCCTCAATTTTCATCACACTTTACAGAGAGGCCTGACTTAAATTAACGCTAGATTATGCGTGATTCACACAATTTACAATTTGCCATTCATTGTAATTAATAAAACATTTTATTATCTGTTAATATCTTCACAATCTATTAATAGTTTACAGTTTACAATCTAATCGCCTAAATCACCATAAATTGACAGATTTATGGTGATTCATCCTTTCTTTGATTTCATAAAAAACCATTTGCAAATCTCAAATAGCGAACTGCAAATCTTAAACCACGAATCGCGCATAACCTGGTATTAGATTTATATGAATAATTTACTTTAGGACAAGAAAATACGAACATAACCATGAATCCTGAATCTACATAATGGACACCTCGCAAAAACCGGTGCGCAGTTGCTACATGTTGCTAAATGTCCACAAGGTAAAAATACTATGGCTAGTTCGTGATCCATACAAACTTTGCATAAACGAGCCTCTTTCAACTTTCTGTTTTCCTCTTGCAAAGCCACTGAAAAGGGAGATACAAGCTCTTTAAATACATGTGTACATTTCTTTCCAAAAAATCAAATTACATATGTATAGAATGTAGAAAGCATAATACAGCTTTAAAAAGAAAATATTTTTCGCACAAAAGAATATTATATCAAGAAGTTATATCAGTTAAGATTTTTTATTAATTTTATCAACATTTATACTAGGAATAAATATTGTGATAAATTTTATTAATTTTATCACAACACATTTATTCCAGGAATAAATGTGATAAAATTAATAAAAACATCTTAAACAATAGTGTATGATAATGATAAAAACAATTGTAGATGAATGGCATGTAACTGATTTCACAGATCACATATAGATAATATCAAATAAATAAATATAATATTTATCTGTTACTTACTAAGATCATCTGATTCGTTATCCGTTTTTTTCTTTTCGAGATTTCTTTCAAACACAGAGTCAGATGCTTGTGTACTATTTTTATTTGCAGAATTATTTGTCATTTGTATAGTAACTTGATTAAACAAATTATTCAATTCTGAAGTAGGTGAGTTAGAAGTGCTGTTATCAAGGCTAAAAAAAGTATAATTCTCAATGATACCTTAACAATTTGATTATTTCTAATTATATGTAACATACACATGTGCTGTATTTTACATACCTATTACTCTCTTCCATAACTTGTTGGTGTAAAACATCTTGTATAAGTTGTGCAACATCACTATATGGTATGCCAACTCTTTCCATTCTGTTCTTCAGAGCTCTCTTGACTCTATCTACTTGTAGCCCAATTTCAAGAGCAGCCTATGTTGAGAGAAAGTCATATTAAATTAATTAATCTTAATTAGGAATAATTAGGAACATATAAGTTTTCAAATCACTTATAAAGAGTTTACGTCGTCAATGTTTTCACCGTTTTTTTCACATAGTTTGAATTGATAAAAGCATTGTAAAGTTTTCTCTAATTCCAATGTAATACATACATGTATACAATTTAGTCATTCTACTTGCCTTAGCTGGAGCTGTTTCTAAAAGTTTCTCAACCTCTGCATTTGTTATTGATACACTGGATTGTAAAACTGCCGAAAGAGATGCAACCATAGTTCTTGTAGGATCTACTGGTGTACTTGGTTCACTAGATTGCGAAACTGTGGAAACAGATGCACCTGAAGTTTCTATGATATCTGTGGCAGATGCTATTGTATTGTCTGGTTTGCTATTTTGTGAAGTTGAAACAGATTCAACTGAAGACTCTGTGGCACTATCTTCTGGCATGCCAGTGATAATCTGTATATATCATATATATAATTAAAAATTTTTTAAATATCACAATTATATACATCAATATTACGTAATGTATAAAATGTATCTTATGTATGTTATTATATGTAATCTAAACATTATATATATATATATATTTTTACAACATAAAATTTATATTGTCTAAATTAATTCATAAAATCATAAAAAATAGAATATATGACAATTACCGAAAGATCGAAATTTCTATTATCAACACAATATTTGACGAAGTCTTTTCCACGTACAAGATTTACAAAGAAACAACTTGAGAACCATCGTGCATGTTCAACCCATACATCATCAGTTGGTTGCCAATTTCGTAATCCTCCATCACAATGAAAACATCTAACTTGATCTTCGTAGCCTGTCAAATACATAAGATTAATCATTAAAACAAACATGTTATGGGAAAGATATATTAATTTATAAGATAAATATAATTCTGACCGCTATAATAGAATCCAGCCTCAGCTAACATTTCTGGAGTTTGGTTAAGGTTTTTTGGCCATCCCTTAAAGGTCTGCAACCTTTTTTCATACATTGTGAATCCTGGTCTTTGGGGTGTCTTATGTATCTGTATTCCTGGCATATCTGTTCGACTTTCAGGCATGACACAGACAAATCCAAATAACTCTGTTGAAATAACACCATAACTAGTAATTGACAGTACACAAGTTTTATATAATTTAGTTAGATAGAATATTTATAAATATTATATATCGCAAAAGTATTACTAAAATAATATACCTTCTACTGGTTGTAGTCTCATATAGAAATCGCAATTTGGAAAATTCAATCTGTGCACACTATCCGGATTGTCACCAGGTTTCCAATTCATCATGACACCTTTGCAAAATGCGCATTCCACCTGTTATTTGTACAAAATGTTATGCAAGCATAAAATATTTTCAAGTAATATATAAAACTTTATTCTTTGTACATAATTTTTAGTTAATTTGCAATAGATTTACAATAATCTTTATATATTAGAATAATTTTCTTACCATATCTTCCCTTTGAAGATAATAAAACCCTGCCATGGCCAACTTGTGTGGATGGATAATACTTGTTTTTGGCCACTTTTGAAATGACACTATCCTTTCTACAAGGTTACTGTATTCCATAACCTTAAGGGGATCTACAGACCTTTGTGGTAAGCTCAGATCGTCTTCGACACTGCTGGATCGCTGCGGGTGATCCGTAGCTGGCGACTGTTGATGTGTTGATGATTCTGCAGCCGCGTTTTCGGCTGTCCCAGGTATGAAGGGAATGTTGATAGTATTGGTTGGTGCAAGAACGAAAGGGCATTTGGGCGCTTTCGTTCGATGACGAACCATAGCATGATCACCATAATTCCAGTCAGATATCCTCGTGCCACAAAAAAAACATTGAACCTCTAGGTCATGTCCAGTGTAATAGAATCCCGCTTTTGCGAGACGCGTTGGATCGACAGCGGCGTTGGCCGGCCACTTGCCACGAAACGTCCTGAGCCTGTTTTCCTCGACGTTCATTCTGCTCGTCGAGTCAAATCACTGTCTGATAAGAAAACTCATAGTAAATCAACCTAATTAGTTTATCAACTAATTGAAGTACGAACTAATTCAGTAAGTGGCATCACTGAATTTTAACAAGTCATTAACAACAGTTCGCTGAATTGTTAAATATATATTGAGCACATAACACAAGTCAAATAAGTACGACTATCGATTTATAAATACGACACATAAAATACATGGGTTGTATTTAGCAAAGAAATTGGAAAAAAAGCGATTACTGATCAGGTGAACACTCAGCGATTTCACAGAGAAGCCCAAGAACTGGCTGCTGTGAACTGACATCAATCACATTACTGAGGGAATTCCAGCCAGAGCCAATTCCAGTCTTTTTCGTGCTTACAGGACCATCACAATAGTATACCATAACTCCGTTGCTCAATGAACCAACGTCTACTTTAATGATATGAAAAATTGATGTCATACCTTTTTTTATAACACTATCGATAAAATAGTAGTGCCGATCATTCAACACTGTTGAAAATAATTAATAAACTAGTGCGTATTCCTACACATATTTCCTATTATGAATATAGAATCAATCTAGGCAACTCTTGTTAGCATGGACACGCACCTCATGCATTTTGACAGTCGTGTGACTGTTAAAATTTGAGTGATCAAGAATAATAAACTGATAATACGGTACTAATTTTATAATTTATAGACATGTAAATATATATATATACACGTTTAAAACTTAATAATACTCAATTTTTATTAAAAACTGTGATTTAACGTTATCATCCGAGTTTGATTATCAATAATAATAAAAGCAAAATGCAACTTAATGTATCAATTATCGATAATGTCACCGTTCTTCTCCGATTTATCCCCGTTAATAATCACAAAAATAGTGTAGAACCAGGGTAGAACCAGAGAGAAGCCTGAGAGCGGCCATGCCCGGGATTTAGCTACAACTTTATTTTGAAGCGCCTCTATGTCCACAAAACGTGGACATTGAACTATGTAGCCAATGTCCACGATCATGTCGGTAATGTCCACGATTTTTGGTTCGAATCTTCCCTATATCTATGATTTTTTTGGTTCGAATCTTCCCTATCATCTCTCTCTCTCTCTCTCTCTCTCGACATTTGAAATATAAAAACAAATACAAAAATGTTAGGATTTCAACAGAATGCATAGTGTTGATTTTTTTTATAAATATAAATTTAAAATAAAAAAATTAATTATTGCTCTATAAATATATATCCTTTAAAGTTATTAATTATATTAATTATTAAATCTTTATTAATTCTTTAAGTGTTTTAATGTTTTTGCCGAAAAATAATTAGTTTCTTTTTAAATATAAATACAGTACTTTTAAAAGATTTAATAGGTTTATTAGAATATTAGCGAGTTTTGAATAAATATGTAGATCAGTAGTATATAACTAGGTAGTTATATTTAACTTGTAGCGGAACCAGCTTATTCACCACAGTTTTGACATTTGATGATGGCCAAGCCGAAGATGAAGAAAATAGCTTGCCGCACATGGACGGTTTCCAGAGTAAACTTCCAGCAGGAATATTTTCTCACGGATTACTGCAAGTTAAGGAGGTTCACAGTCTACTTACACAGGTAGAGCAAGAGAAAGAGAATCCTAAAAAAGAAAGTGCGTAAATTATCGATCTTTTACATTTCATTTCTGTTTATTAATAAAAAATTTTGTTTTATTAATTCTGTAGTATGGGAAC